GAAGCTCGAGAAGGATATCAAGGACAAACAGAACAGCGTCAATGAGAAGATCGGTGTTAAGGTGATAACTTGTCCAGCTCTTTCGGCCCCTTGAACAACTGGAGCTTACGCCTTACCAGGAATCTGACACCGGTCTTGCGCCTCCACACCTTTGGGATGTTGCCGCCGACCGGCAACGCATGGCGGAGGAACAGCCGCTACAGGTCGCGAGGTGCACAAAGATTATCCAGGATGAGAAGGACTCGGACAAGAGCAAATATGTGATCAACGTCAAGCAAATTGCCAAGTTCGTTGTCAACCTAGGAGAGCGTGTTAGTCCGACAGATATCGAGGAAGGCATGAGAGTTGGGTAAGTTATCTGATGAATTATATGTTATTTCTAGGTACTAACTAGGCTTTGCAGCGTCGACCGTAATAAGTACCAGATCATGCTGCCCTTGCCGCCGAAGATCGACCCTAGCGTGACAATGATGACTGTCGAGGATAAGCCCGATGTGACCTACGGTGATGTTGGCGGATGCAAAGAACAGATCGAGAAGCTACGAGAAGTCGTTGAAATGCCCTTGCTATCACCAGAACGTTTCGTGAACCTCGGTATCGACCCACCCAAGGGTGCCTTGCTCTATGGACCCCCGGGAACCGGAAAGACCCTTTGCGCCCGTGCAGTCGCCAACCGAACGGATGCTACCTTCATTCGTGTCATTGGTAGTGAACTGGTGCAGAAGTACGTTGGTGAAGGTGCTCGGATGGTCCGTGAACTTTTCGAGATGGCCCGTACCAAGAAAGCATGCATCATTTTCTTCGATGAAATTGATGCCGTTGGTGGTGCACGTTTCGACGACGGCGCTGGTGGCGACAACGAGGTCCAGCGAACTATGCTGGAACTGATCACACAGCTGGATGGATTCGATTCTCGTGGTAACATCAAGGTCATGTTCGCTACTAACCGTCCATCCACACTTGACCCAGCCCTGATGCGTCCCGGTCGTATTGACCGTAAGATCGAATTCTCGCTGCCGGATGTCGAGGGCCGTGCCAACATTCTCCGAATCCATGCCAAGAGCATGTCCGTCGAGCGAGACATCCGTTGGGAGTTGATCTCGCGATTGTGCCCCAATGCCACAGGTGCCGAACTTCGCAGTGTTGCGACTGAGGCAGGTATGTTTGCTATTCGGGCTCGTCGCAAGGTGGCTACCGAGAAGGACTTCTTGGCCTCTGTCGAGAAGGTGATTAAGGGCAACCTCAAGTTCAACTCGACGGCGACATATATGCAGTACAACTAGAGATTCCGGCTTGCATTATGGATGGGATGTACGATCACTATTGTCTTTACGTGGGAATTTCTTCCTGGTCAATACAATATAATTTCAACCAAGTTCCCTGACTACCAATGTAGTCCAGTGTAGTCCGTCCAGGTACTTTCCTGATTGGCGAAAACATCGCTGGTCATGTGACTACACCTCGATCTAGATGTACTCTGCAACTGAAGTGTGCGACATCTAGGAATTGTATGTCATTCCACCAGTAAAAGTGGGACTAAAATCAGAAAGAATAGCCAGATACAGTGATAAGACCCCGTAATTCATCCTAGCAGCTCTCTTCAATCTCCCTGACCCTCTACCGTATCCTTCCGGTAGCTTGTGCTGGCCGGCAAAATGAATCGTGGACACGTGCCATCCAGCCAATCACGGACGGCCGGCTGCCCGAGGTTGATTTTCATTGCGCAGCCGCTGATTGGCTGGTTCGGCCCCGGTCCTCCCCGTCGGCAACTGCGAGAATGATTATGTCAGCGTGAAACCATCAACCGTGACCCGATTCCAGATGAAAGTGTTGCCCTGGAAGGAGTTCGCTATTCCACAATCTCCCCTCTTTGCTAAGCCCGTCACCGACCCTCGGTGTCCTACGATTCTTTTGGTTCATTAGGGAAACTCAATTCTCTTTTGACCCGCCATCATGAGCTCCATGACCCTGCGGAGCCTAGCTCCTGCATCCAAGGTGAGTAGCCATGCAACGATTTTCGGCCCATTCGCGATACCCGTAACATACTCATACGTCTACTTCTCCAGGTTTCCCGCGTTTTGAGGGATCAGAGACGTCTTTTCTCATCTTCAAGGCCCGCAGGTACGCATTAGAGCACTCAAATTGTCCACCCATGAATATACCACTAATTACTACTGCGCCAGCCCGGATATGGTCCAACCAGCCTTTGCGCGCTAAAGAGTCCAATGGCTACCTGACTGACAAGTACCCTATCATCGTAAGACAATGCCGCTCTCCGAATGGACAATGAGTTTGATTGGATCTGACTTGCGCAGGATCACGAGTACGATGCCCTCGTTGTCGGTGCCGGTGGTGCCGGTCTGCGCGCTGCTTTCGGTCTGGCCGAGGCTGGATTCAAGACTGCTTGTGTTTCCAAGCTGTTCCCCACGAGAAGTCACACTGTCGCTGCCCAGGGTGGTATCAACGCTGCCCTCGGAAAGTAGGTTTCCCACATAAGTACTGAAAGGTAGCGAATTGAGTCTAACTGGGTTTTAGCATGCACGAGGATGACTGGAGATGGCACATGTACGATACCGTGAAGGGTTCTGATTGGCTTGGTGACCAAGATGCCATCCACTACATGACCCGCGAGGCTCCGGCCAGTGTTCGCGAGCTTGAGGGCTACGGTTGCCCCTTCTCGCGTACCGAGGATGGACGTATTTACCAGCGTGCTTTCGGTGGTCAGTCCAAGGATTTCGGCAAGGGTGGTCAGGCTTACCGTTGCGCCGCCGCCGCCGACCGTACTGGTCACGCCCTTCTGCACACCCTCTACGGACAGTCTCTCCGCCACAACACCAACTACTTCATCGAATACTTCGCGCTCGACCTGCTGATGGAGGATGGTGAGTGCCGTGGTGTCATTGCCTACAACCAGGAAGATGGTACTCTGCACCGCTTCAAGGCCCACCACACTGTTCTTGCCACCGGTGGTTACGGACGTGCCTACTTCTCCTGTACCTCTGCCCACACTTGCACTGGTGACGGTATGGCTATGGTTGCTCGTGCTGGTCTCCCTAACCAGGATCTTGAGTTCGTCCAGTTCCACCCTACTGGTATCTACGGTGCCGGTTGCCTGATCACCGAGGGCTCCCGTGGTGAGGGTGGTTACCTGCTCAACTCCGAGGGTGAGCGTTTCATGGAGCGTTACGCTCCTACTGCCAAGGATCTTGCCTCCCGTGACGTTGTCTCCCGCTCCATGACTCTGGAGATCCGTGAGGGCCGTGGTGTCGGTCCCGAAAAGGACCACATCTACCTCCAGCTTAGCCACTTGCCCGCTGAGCTCCTCCACGAGCGTCTACCCGGTATCTCCGAGACTGCCTCGATTTTCGCCGGTGTTGATGTCACTAAGCAGCCCATCCCTGTCCTGCCCACCGTCCACTACAACATGGGCGGTATCCCCACCAAGTACACTGGTGAGGTTCTGGATGTGGATGAGAACGGCCAGGAGAAGGTTGTTCCCGGTCTGTACGCCTGCGGTGAGGCCGCATGTGTGTCTGTCCACGGTGCTAACCGCCTGGGTGCCAACTCCCTGCTTGATTTGATTGTCTTTGGTCGTGCTGTGTCTCACCGTGTTCGCGACATTGCCACCCCCGGCAAGCCCCACAAGGAGCTTTCCTCCGATGCTGGTGCTCAGTCTATCAAGGACCTCGACTTTGCCCGTACCGCCGATGGCCCTAAGTCCACTTTCGAAGTCCGCAACGCCATGCAGAAGACCATGCAGACCGATGTCAGCGTCTTCCGTACTCAGGAGAGCTTGGACGAGGGTGTCGAGAAGGTCAACAAGGTTGACCAGTTGTATGCCCAGGTCGGTACCAAGGACCGCAGCATGATCTGGAACTCCGACCTGGTGGAGACCCTTGAGCTCCGCAACCTGCTGACTTGCGCGTACGTAACCCCGAGTAAATGATTTAGGATCCCTTGCTAACATAAATCCTATAGTACCCAAACCGCTGCTTCTGCTGCCGCTCGTAAGGAGTCTCGTGGTGCCCACGCCCGCGAGGACTACCCCGACCGTGACGACGAGAACTGGATGAAGCACACTCTCTCCTGGCAGAAGAAGCCCCACGGCGAGGTCAAGCTGGGCTACCGTGCCGTTGAGGCTAACACCCTGGATGAGGCGGAGTGCAAGGCCGTCCCTCCTTTCAAGCGTACCTACTAAGCTCGCTATCTTGGAGTCGACCCGCAGAGAATACGGAGGATACCACGGAGTTGTTTCAGATTGACCCTATCGACGCCCTCTCCCAGCCTCGTGGGTTTGAGGTGGAACTAGGGCTTGTGGCGTCACAAGGCCCCGTTTCAAGGGGAAATATCTATGAAAAAGACCTTTTTTTTTGTTGACTGTGTTATTTACCATCCTGTATAGCCATATTTTTTTCTTTTATCTTAACAGGCGAAGAGTTGGTGTGCTGAGTGCTTTTACCCTCAGTTTGTCTCATATGATTGGATTTATTACTTCTTAATGTTTTTTCTGTTCCCCGTGATAGGTCCCTATTGTAGTTTTTTCCTTTGCCCCATACCGAAACTCTTTGTCTGGTTTGACTAAATATCCCCAGCCTGGCCTGTCAACAAAGAAACCCCAACACTAACCTCTTCGAGTCTCATTTCGAACCTTGGTTGATTTATGGCTGGTTTCTTGCTAACTTGCTGGATTCTGCGATCATTTATCACTAACGTATCCACAATAACTATGCCTCGTCAAAGAGCCGAAGAGCCTACTTACACGAGCCAAAGAGAAACTAACCCTATACAGGTGAAGCCTAGACATACTAGTATCTATAATTGGCATGTCATTGCCACCACCAACATATGGTCCCTCCTTTCTTTCGGGAACAGGGGCCTGCTCTTCATTCGAAAGGTAATGAATGGCTCTTGCAAGAATATCTGTCGAGGCATGACCCAGTTAACCTCTGTTGTCATTTCTGCTGGCAGATCCTCAAATCTCGTTGAAAGGACCAGACCTCTTACCTCCAGTCGTTGAAGCTTGCGTTATCCAGCATAACTGCTGTGTCTTGCGATTTGATCAAGTTATCTTCCGATTCGGTGAATGAGACTTGATCTTTGAGGATGGTGTTCGAGATGGAGACTCTCAAGTCCCTCGAGTCTATCATCCCTCGAGACTCTAGTTCTTGCACCGGGACCAAGCAGTGGTATGTCTGCACGGCAGGCAACTTTCGTGGGTGCTGCTCAAGTGATCCGTGTACGATGGGCATTTGTCCAAATGACAGCGACAATGACACACTCTCGTTGATTACAGCTGGGGCCATTGGTTTGCTGCCCAGTGTGACGCCGAGAACCACCACCACTTCCTCTACGTCCACCTCTTCGGGGTTAACTACCGTCTTGTCAACAGATCCGTCTACGACCGCATCTCCACCTTCTTCGACAACCTCCTCTATTACTTTGGAAACATCAGCAGGTTTGGAGACATCCAGCACCCCAACTGCCCCATCCTCAAACCTGGGCGCAATCATCGGCGGTGTTTTGGGGGGGATTGCGGTCTTGGTCATATGTGTCTGTCTACTTTTCTATTGTTGTCTCCGCAAGAGAGAATATGGGAAACGTGAGAAGCGTTCAACTCCTGTGTCACGGTATCCATACGGATTTATGCGGAAATAGCGAGCAAAAGCACCCGAAATGAAAGGGGCCCTATCGCCGTCAGACAGCGAAACAAATAGTGAGCACAAACACATCTAATAACTCACTAGCCAATGAGGCAAAATAACATTTCACTGATACTAGACGTTTCATTGACAATAGACTCATTGAGCGCAGTCTCCCCATTCACCGCGGATAACACACGGGGAAGCATAATTCTCACACCAGACCTAGTATTGGGGTCATCCTCAACAAGTTTTATCTCATGCTCTCCCCACAAAACGCCCCCAGTCCCGCCAACCAAGCCGCACTCAAACGAGCTCATCGCTTCAATCCCTTCCCGCCAAGGGTTCACCCCAGAGCTACCAGACACGTGCTTCCATCGCCTGCGCGCCGAACTAGCCTCCCACTCCCAGAGCGAGTTGATCAACGTACCCATGGAGCAACGACAGCGACAGCAGAACCACATCAAGTTGAGGACTAGATTGCGGGCTTGGGAATCGCCTGCCTTGGCGCCTATACCTAGTTCACGTGCAAGCTCAGCAAGAGGACCCGGCAACGGCAGCGACCTCAGCCATAGCAACAGCAATGGTAGCAGTCCTGGAAACCAAGCCGGACGGGTCATCACCGCCGAGGGAGTTGTCCTAGGCGCCAATCTGGATCGATACTCCAATGGTATAGAAATTGGAGAGTCCCAGGCCCAGGGGGAACGAGGAAGGAAGGCTGAGCGTGGTGAGACAGATCATGTTATGAGTTTTATGCAGTATGCTGGGAGACCGGATGATCGGGGCTTGGGGAACGAGCTTGTAAACACAACAAGTGGCCATACTTCCAATCTCCAGGGACGTGGGAGCAGTGCGTCCAGGTCGGGGCCTAGGCCCGCGGAGCGCAGTTTGGAAGATGATATTGCGGCTGCGGAGGGTAATGTTGACGTCCCGCCTGCTTATGAGGCGGAAGAGGGCGCCCCTGGACACGAAATCAAGTCTCCGTCTGGGAGGATGGGTATGAGCCCAAGAGGGGGGGTTTGAGGATTGAGGTTGATCTTGATTTTGGAGGGTAATGCTGGTGGTTATTTCTATGTTAGGGTTGGAGCCCCGGCTTAAGGGTTTTGATGAGATTTGAACGATGGTCTGATTGGTATGTTGAATGATATTCCGTCCTTTATTAGCACCACATAGCTTAGCCTTCTTATTCTTGGAAGATACCTAAACAAGTCAATTCATACATTCATTTTTGTCTAACCGAAAGCCTAACGTTTGTTCTCTTCATATATCGTATCCAAAAAAATTTACAGCAAGTTCTTCAGCACAGCGGTCTGCTCGAGGACTGCACGCTTGCTGGTTCCGCCAATGGCATCCTTGAGCTCAACGGCACGCTCATAGTCAAGGCAAGCCTGGACATCAGCGTCGAAGCGGGCGTCGACTTCCTGGAGCTGCTTCAGAGAGAGTGTGTCCATGGGAACATTGGTGTTCTCAGCCAAAGCAACGACACGACCGGAGATGTGGTGTCCCTCACGGAAAGGCACACCCTTGCGGACAAGGTAGTCGGCAATTTCGGTAGCCAGCATCTCCGGAGCCAGGGCGGCGATCATCTTCTCGGGGATGACAGTGAGAGTAGAGAGCACACCAGTTGCAATCTGGATGCTGTCGCTGACAGTCTTGACGTGGTCGAGCATTGGCTCAACACTCTCCTGCAGATCCTTGTTGTAGGTAGTGGGGAGACCCTTGATTGTGCACATCAGGCCGGCCATCTGGCCGAAGGCACGGCCAGCCTTACCGCGGAGCAGCTCCAGGCTGTCTAAATTGCGGAGCATATATCAGCATGCTAATTTTTTAAATTTTTTTTTTTTAAAAAAAAAAGAAAAACGGAGTTCAAACTTACCTGCGTTCTTCTTCTGGGGCATGAGCGACGATCCAGTCGAGTAGGCATCTGACAGACGGACAAAGCCGAACTCCAGACTGCTGTAGATGATCAGATCCTCGGCCCAGCGGGAAATCTTGAGCATGAACGAGCTGCCCCATTGCATGGTCTCCATAGCGAAATCACGGTCCGCAACAGCGTTCATGGAGTTGTACAGCAAGCCATCGAAGCCAAGCTCCTTGGCCATGGCCTCACGATCAATATTGAAGCAGTTACCGGCAAGAGCACCGGTACCAAGAGGGCTCTTGTTAACGCGACGGATCACCTCACGCAGACGCTCCAACTCGCTAGCGAAGGCAGTGGCGTGTGACAGGATCCAGTGGGACCAGCGGACGGGCTGGGCCTTCTGCAAGTGGGTGTAGCCGGGCATGAGATAGGCGATATCGTTCTCAGCGCGAGCAATAGAGACTTTGATTAGATCGGAAAGGTGGCTCTCGATCAAACGAAGCTCATCGCGGAGCCACAAGCGCATATCCGTGGCGATCTGCTCATTACGCGACCGACCGGTGTGCAGCTTGCCGCCGATATCCTTGCCAATGATCTCACCCAGACGGCGCTCGTTAGCGGTGTGGATGTCCTCGTCGTTCTCCTTGGCGACGAATGTGTTTGTTTGCCATTCCTGAGCGATCTGCTTGAAACCACGCTCGATCTCGGCGAACTCTTGTTGCGTGAGGATACCGGAGTTGGTGTTGGCGCGGGCGAAAGCAATTGAGCCGGCAATATCCTGCTTCCAGAACACACGATCGTAAGGGAGCGATGTGTTGTACTGCACCATAAGGGGGTCAAGGCCCTCTGGGGTTTTTTTTTTGTATGAGTCAGTGGTTTTTTGGTGGGATGAAGGGGTTGTGGTACTCACGGGTGAAGCGGCCTCCCCAGAGCATGTTCTCAGCGACGCCTTTAGGGTTACTCATTTTGAAGAAACGGAGATTGGTCAATTGGCTTGGAAATGAGAGAAAATAGAGAAATAGAGAAGTTTGAAGTGAAGTTCCCCCTGCACCTCGAGGAATCACCCAACCGATCATCCGCTAAACCCAATTGGGGAATATCTGGGGACAGTGTTTACTATGAGTCACTTATCTCCAGGACTGATATCTGACATTTCCATCCACATCTTTATGATATTGAACTAAAATAAACATGGAGCTTTTGGAAGGTATGTTTATGTATAGACATTTTTTTTATATATATCCTCCAGAACAAGTTCGGTCTGTTGTACTCGGATCTGACTTCAGAACGTAATATTAGCTATTAGGAATAATTAATATTTCAAGCGTCCTCTATGATTCCTCCCTTATTCATAATCTCGAAGCAGACGAGGGCACTCAATGCACTGGTTTACCCGACTGGAAGAACCGCCACAAGCGTTATGGGTATTCGAGAGATTCAAGCATCATGAAGTCAGCGGCCGATATCGGTAGTATTCCAAAGTTATCATCAGGCCAAGATTCCAAAGTCTGCGGGGCTGATTTTCAAGTAATTGGTTAAGCACGCGCTGCTTCGACCGTGGATTTTACTATTCTGTGAGCCTGTTGTTTTAGTTTGACGGTTAATAACTTCCTCTCACTCAAAAAAGTCTGATAACCACTAATGGGTCCACGAAGCTTTACATGTTAGCCATCTACGGCACTCTTTACTTGTGCTTTGCTACATTCTGATCGTGTTCTAGGAATTCTAGGAAAACCGTGGTTAGAATGCCGGCGTTGGTGGCCTCGAGTTCACTGGTGTCTTAGTAGGCTTAATAGTCGGAATCCTCATTGTTTGCTGGGATCCCAAACGATACGTTCGGACCTATCGCGCAACCGACGGGTTTGCACCTTCAGGATGTCTACCAGTAGTCATTGCAGGTGGAGTATCCATTGTTGTTGGACTGGCCTAGTTTGCCGCCACCGGTTCTCCTAATATCCATTGGGTGGTTCCAATCATGGCTGGAGCTCCGTTTGGTGCAGGGTTCGTCATGGTGTTCATATGCTGCGCCAATTATCTGTAATATCCCCGCTGTTCCTTACCCCTGGTAACTGGCTGACTTTCTATCCTTAGGATTGATGCGTACCTGATATTCGCCGCCTCAGTACTTGCTGCCAACTCTGTGATGCGGTCCATCTTCGCTTGTGTCTTCCCTCTCTTCACCACCTACATGTTCAATGTACGTGTAAGACATGACGCATTTTGTGATATCGTCTACTAACAGGATTGCAGAACATGGGGATCTACTGGGGCGTAGCTGTTCCTGGATTTATTGTACTCGCCTGTCTTCCATTCCCCGTTATATTCTATGTTGACGGTGCAAAGATCAGAACGCGTTGTAAATACGCCGCGCTAACAGAAGAAAATCTCCGAAGTATTAAAGTGAACGGGAATTTTAGCCCACAACCCTCGACTGACCGAAGGAAACACGATTACCAAAATGTAGGGAATATTTGAGCATATCCGAATCCGAACGTCGAACGGCATCATGATGTACGTAGGTTTCAACGAGCCTGGTAGTTCAGTGTCTTTTGCCGGGATATTTGCTTAGGGGGTTTAAACCCTGAATGGATTATACCTAATATTCAATAGATGTCACAATTTTAAAACATAATTTACCCCTGAATTTGTCATCTGATGTAAAATGTGTCGGATAGTTAGAAGTTTAAAGACACACAAATGCAGTTATCCCATTATCCACCATAACTATATATTCCGTTTATATATATAAAACCTAGGAGATAAAAACAAACCTTTAATCAAGCAGCTCAATGACAGTCCAGGTGACAGTTGTCAAAACCTGACCGCCAATCTTTTCCATGACTCTCCGACTCGCGTTATTATACCCAGCAACCTCAGTATGCGCCCAAGCTCCAACACGCTCTCGAGTCTGACTATCCTCAGAGTTAACACTTCCAGCTCCAAAAACACCATTTACTGCCATTCCATGACGCATGACAGCCTTGGACAATGGAACGGCAAGTCCGCGACCCCGATGCTCCGGCTCAACATGCAATGTCGCCAGCGCTCCATCCACACCCAAGAATCCCCATGCAATAGGCATTTCATCAGCATCACTAGACGTAGAATCCAAATAAACCGCCATACCGGGAATTTTAGATAGCTGTGATCTTGGCCTGGGGATATGTGTCCGACTCTGCACAAGATCCAGGTGCTTACTCAGAACACCCTCCCTACCCTCTCGGTCATGGAACCTATATCCAGATGGGAGGGAAAGATCGGCGAACGGCAGATCGGCAGATCTTGCAGACTCTGCCTCGGGGCTGAACTCAGATCTCCGGAAAAAGTACTTGTAATAAGGCGGATCATCGAAGCGATGGACCCGGATATTGGGTATCGGGTCAGATAGGGTGTATGTGCCTGATTGCTGTAGAAGAGAGAATAGACCTGTATGAAGGCTGCCTATGAGAAAAGCCTGTGGATCCGGCGCCGGGATCAGGGGGACACTAGTGGGACTGGTGTTGTTTGGGGTCACCGAGGACGTCGATACGGGAGGAGTATCAGCTGCCACGGATGTGGCTTGGGCTGACTTCGCCAAGTATGATAGGTAGGATGGTAGCATATTGGTCTTGACATATTCCAGCAAAGCCAATAGCTGGGCGCGGACCAGGGCTAGGACGGGTGGGCTGGCGGAAAAGGTGGAAACAATGGACTTGGCGACGGTGTTGATACCATCATTGTTCTTGCTATTATTGGATATTGAGTCCACATTTAATATCTCCGTACTATCGCTGACAGTGACGATCGGCGGAGTTGACGTGTGCTCCGCTTCGAGGCTGGAGTAGATGATCATTTGTGTTGTGCGGCCAGCGAAAAGATCCACTCGCGCAGCCAGCCATGGCTGTCCACGCTCAGGGGTTAAGCCGGGGGGGAAAGTTGCCAGTATGTGGGCGGTCTCATACGGATACGCGATTCCATGTTGGATTCGCCGGAGCAAAGTCGTGGAATATGGCAGTTCAGATACGAGTGCCGGTATTATTGTGGTTGCATCGTGCTCGTAGATGCATATTGCCATTCCGATCGTGGATGTGTCGGGTTCCCGGGAACCTGGATTCAGGGGAGGGGCTGGAATTTCTACACGGGGCGATGAATGGGATCTCAAATCATAAACTTGCAGAAGAGACTACTGATCTTCAATTTATTCGCAAAGTGACAGGTTGACAGTCATGACGAGGGGTCGTGAGTCAGAGACTTGTGGATCCCTTCAACATAGCTAAAATGTGTCTAGCTAATTCTGGTTAGATCGTTATTTGACTGAATATTTGATTAATAAACCACCGCGTCCGAGGCATGAATCGCTGATTCTTCGAGTCGCTTAAGTATTTGTCACTGGTGTTAATCTCCAAGACTGGTCTGTGGCTGTGGCGGTGCGGCACTATCGATTCTGGCGCGGGACTCGCGGGCGATCTCTGTCAACTCTACATGAGCGTGCGAGACGAAACAAATTATTTCCACTCTTTTTTTTTGACGTGCTTATGATTCTGTATTGCTATGTTCTAGCTTGGCAACTTTCCCCGGGGCACATAGAGTGAAAAAAAAAAGGACCGCCTTGTCATTGAACTCCACTGTGATATGACATCACAAGCACTATTTTTTGGCGGAGCGAGAAACGCAAGGAAAAAAAGAAAAGAAAAGAAAAAAGAAAATTCGTGCCTCATGACCGCGGCATCCTACCAGGGACTGCGCGCTCCGACCATCCAATCCTCCATTGCCAGCCATTCGCTCCACCGTGCTTCGGCTACTCGAATCTCATCCTCCAAGGGGTCACGCAGGGGCCTTAAGAAGGGAGTCTCTTCACCTGGGGAAATATCGTAGGCAGCTTTGGTAGATGCCCACCCACTGCTTTTAGCCGCGAACATATAGTTCACCCGTTCTTGTTTGTAGATACAGCCCACGCCAGCCTCCCAATCACCACCGAAGAAGCCTTGCATAACAGTTGGTGAGTCCTGTGCCGTGACAATCAACCGTCTAATATACGGCCGTAGCGAAACAAAGGATGATGGTGTAGACATGGGTGCGCTAGACTCGGAAGGTCGCTGACAGGGTAGTCGAATATTGATGAACGCGGCAATAGACTGCACTTGGGGTGTATGTTGGCTATAGTCGACGAAGTGCTGAACACAATTCTTGTAGTGTGGGAACCAGCCCGTGGGATCCACGCGACCAAACTCGGCGTCGTTTAACATCGACTGAACCTCTGGGTTGGTAATCCCCTCTTCATGAGAGCGGTCGCGCCTATCCGAAATTGGTTCAGCGTCTCGTCCGACGGGTCCTGGAACAAGGGCAAAAAGTCTCAGAATATTGGTCATTGTGCAACCGGTGCAATAAGCAAGACCGGAGTAGAGGGAAGAAGGAACTCACTTTGAGCGAGTTGTTCTCGAGAATAAGGATCGCGCATGTCCATATGCTGAGAGTTTTCCCAACACTTTCTTCCAGAACCCTGCATGCTCAGTGACATGTTCGACTGTCGACATATGTTGTTGATAGGATGCACAAAGGAAGAAGGATTGAAACTGGAAGTGGATTTAGACTTGAGTTGGGATAGTCTATAATTCTGGGGGAGGCGAACGCCTTATAGCTCCGCGATCAAGCGCGGACGGGGAACACCGAGCCATCAAGGGTTCCCAAAATCGATAACCTGTGAAGATCAAGGGCGGACTAGTTCGGCTTTTCGGACGTGAAGGCAGGGTGGGGTGGATCTGGGAAGCTATCGAAGAGAAACCAAGCTTGAGCCACAGATATGATCACTAGCCACGGTGAGCCACGGTTTGAGCCACGGCGAGACCGAAAAGGTGGCTCGTGCACTTATCCTCAAATAGTAAGGGGGGTGTGGCTGTGTCCAAAACCGACAATGGAATTGTCCACTAGTCTCAATCAGGCAGCCCACATGGTCGATCTAGATCTCTTACGGAGTAGTGTATCAATAGTTCCATACATTCGAGGCTAGTCTCGCACTATCTCGCCCTAGATCACCCAAATGATTTGGAAGCCTTACAACTATCGGAAGATCAGTGATCTCGTCTTTCCCATACTTTTTAGTGTTTGATCTTCTTTAATATACTCGCCTAGGTAGTCTCTCTTCGTGATCCGTGCGACATGGCTGACACTTCAAGGTCCACTCCTCCAAATATTAATTAAACACATTGATAATTATTCATTGGCCTAAAAGGTTGGGATCCCGGAACTGTTCGGGGGTGGATCTCATATCACATTTGGGATCCATGGATCTGCGAGTTGTTCTCTGGTCTTCTCTGGTCCTATCTATAGCACATGTTTTTGGACTCGGTAAAAGAAAAGAAAATATAAATAAATAAATAAACAACAACAACAACGTGGAAGGAAAAAGACGAAACAAAAAGAAAGATGCAAGGGGGAAAAGTAGAACGAGATGACCCAATTCGTGGGTATACATGCAGGGATGATCCAAGTTCGAACGAGTCCTCGTATAGAGACTTGCCCACATCGGGGACCCCGACCGATCGGCCCTGACGCTCAGGCAGCCCCTCCATCTCATCCAATGAGAAGGACACCATTTACCTCTCCATCGTGGTCTGAAAACCCGACTACCAGGGTGTAATAAAATCCAATCTATGAAAAATCAAACTAGGCTACTAGATGCGGATCAGCTTGACGTCGGATCTCCCCCACTTCCAAATTCTTGCGGCTGAGCTTTTTCACTTGATTTAAATGCAGGCTGGTTCGCTTCTGGTCAAACCTGCATCTCAACACACTCAACACAGTCAACACACAGATTTGAATCCCTCTTAAGGTTTTGTGATCAAGTCGTTATCTTGCATATAAGACTTTGGGTGATATACAAAAACACCACTTCATACCCACCATGAGTTACAAGACCAACTATGAGCTTTACGTGAGTAAAAACCATGCTTTACTTAAGTCAATCAATCTGACTTACTTTTTTTTTTCAGTCTCGAGGAAGCATCGACAGCAGACGGTCACCTCCGCCAGATGAGCTTCTCTCACCGTTGGCAACGCTCTACCCGCATGTCGTGGCCCTGCAGCCACAGTATAATCCCAACAACTGCACCTTCACCGGTTACCGTGACACGGGATATTGGGCTGCGGCCTACACAACACAGACTATCGATGATTCCTCCATGTCCATGCGTCGTATTGGTAAGCTTAATCCTGTCTCGTTTTTTTTTTTTTTCTTCGGTCGCGTTTAGTTCTAACATTGCCCTAGATGGTCGACCAAGCCGATTTGTTTCTAAACTACGCCGACTCCTTAGCCGAGACGATTTAAAATATCGTCGAGGATCTCGGGCGACTGCTCGAACTGCATGAACTGCGTCTCTCTCTTTCATTTTCATTTTTATTTTTTCGCCTTGGCGATCTACTTGAACAACATGCAAGCGACCAGCAATTCACTTCTCGGCATCCTATTGTCCCCTTATACGAGGCTTCTATTTTTCGAGCCTTTTGATGATCATTACCAAGGCCTTGACAACCACGACTTCGCATCCACCTTTTTCTTTTGTTTGATCTTGAGTTTCATTCTTCCAAGCGTTCTCTTTTTTCCTCTGGGTTTTTGGTCAAGCGACATTACAGCGAGGAGTTCTTTGGCACACATTGGCAACATACGTATATTGGGGGTTGCATCTTTTCTATTCTTGTGACTTCATTTGATTGCATATATATTTTATGTCAATGTATATAAAGACAGGTTTGTCTACAGATATCAAACAAAGGACCAATTACCGTCCACATTTTTACGAAGAATATCTACTTTTTTACTCTAAGAAAATCCCCAAGTCGTATTCCGTGCAATTCTAAGTATAGGCAAGGGGGTTTTTTTCCGCCAAAAAGCACGTTTTTCAATCAGGCAGTTACCAGGTAATCGGTGCCCAGTTTCCCTTGTCCACATGAGTAGGAGAAAGCCACATGCCAATCTTGGAAGCAAGGCACACCTGCAGCAATGACGGCATAGAATATTTACTTTTTCTAGGATCATAGCCTAATAGTTCCCAATCCCACGGTGGTATTCGTGACCCCTGCAGTTCCGGGGGAAAGGAACAGGATCAGTCCACATGATGTAGGTTCGCAAATGCGCCCAACCCCGATCACTTGCATCAGGCCCCAGTAATCCGCCGATCACCTCAAACATTATCACCTCAGTAAGCAATGATCGGCGAGCTCCACAAGCCCATGGAGTTCTAGCCACCGCAATTATAGTTACAGTCCTGGAGCCTTATAACTTGGGTGATTGTTATCAATTATTCATGTAAATGGTGAGAGATCGGCAGGTATGGGCGGATATTAATATTGCAATGACCTAACGTTCGGGTACGAGATGCTTTGTACCTGTAGAACTATATGGTACAAAGTTTCAGGGGTGTCATAAGCTACGTACATATGCACGTACTGACGGGATTTGAACTTTGTTTTCTATCTATGGAGTCTACTTGGAATTGGGAAACTCTCATGGCTGGGCGTTTTTAAGACTAAGGGCCGACCCGTGTCGATCACTTGGCCCCCACAATGTATTTGATATATGTACCTAGCGCGTGCTTTGGGTGCAAAGTTGTGCATTCGTTATTTTCTCTTCCATCTTTGCTTTTTGCTTCTCGTGATTATCTTGACGCTAAGGCGGATCGGGAAGGAGCATTACTTTGCGCCAGGGTGAGAGTAAATGCACCTCAAAGTATATCTTTTTTTAGTTTGAAGGAATTGAATGGGAAAGGGATAGAGACTATAGGAGCCATATATTATTGACATACAATTATAGAGAAGGGTTCATACTGGTAGTCACCAACTGCAATATAGCACTGGGCAAGGAGAAGATCCTGGTACACACTATTGCTCTTCGCGCTCTTCGCGCCCTAACCTGCAATATACCGGTTTATATGCAGGGGGGAATTTAGTATTATTAATCAAATCTGGATGCCTGCCACGAGATCAGAGATCCATCAATAAGAAGATAATAAAAATACAATAATAATGTTCCCGATCGAGCTTGCTGATGACGTCAATGACCCGAGTTTGCGACATTATATGTATTAGTTGAAGTATGGCGCAGGGATTGATTCTCCCTAGGTAGAGTTAGAGTATCAAACGTGAATAGTAAAGGTATAGAACTGGAAAGCCAAACAATAGGACAAAGTAGTAATCGCTTTTAGTAGGATTGGGTTAAGTATGTAGTATGACTAGTTATATATATATATATATAATCTTGGAAAGTATCCTTAATTATACCCCTTTTGTTACTTCTTTCTTTCTAGTGATCAGAAAACACATGAATGCCCATAATGTATTACACAGCACAAGGCAACAAACTACCGAGTAGTCGGCATATGTGAAAGATATGTGAAGAATCATAGACCGACGTCCAATTACCGATCAACACACCCGTGCCAGAACTCTAACATTTTTCGCCCCACCGCTATCCCCGCGACCATTACCCCGGACACCCCCCCGGACTTGGACCAAAAATGATTTCTGTTCAAAAATGTCAACTGAATATCCTTTAGCAGGAAGTCCCGAGACATCAGGATCTCCAAAATACGAATGCTCATTATGCCCCAAGCGGTATAAGCGACGTGAACACCTGTTTCGCCACATCGGCTCCCATACATCACAGCGGCCATACCAATGCAATTCATGCGACGGGGCTTTCCAGCGCGGTGATGTTTTAAAGCGACATATGCGGACTTGTGATGGCGGCGCCTCGAGAGCAAGCACTCGAAGACGGGCTTGCGATCGTTGCGTTCGTCAGAAAAAAGCTTGTAGCTCCCATCAACCATGTCACAACTGCACCAAAAAGGGTGCTCAGTGCTGGTATTCTACAGATACGGGGTCTTTATCACGACTGAGCCAGCATAGCTCAACGAAGGATACACCGAAAGACCAAGACCTGAATACCCAATTCACGGACCCACCGCCACCGCCATCGACATCGACATCTAATACAATGATGCCGTGGGGCCTCAGTATAGAGGACTTGCAGAACTTCGGCACAAGTCCGACCGATACCTTCTTTGACCCAGTCTTCATGCAATACACCAGTCCAACTTGGCCGGAATTTTCGGCATTACCTTCCGACGGCCCGGCAACTTTCGAAACACCTGTTTCTAGTGACTCCCGGAAATCGCTGCATTTTCTGGACAAGTTTACTAGCAACACGGGTCTAGTGTCGAGCTTTGATTGCGGCACTCACGAGCAAAGAGAACAAGTTGCTGCCAGCTTAGACCAGCAAATCTTGTCTGAGTTACAGCAGAGAATAATGTCAATGCCAGCCTTAGGCATGGCTATTCCATCTCCTTTGATCCTGGAAAATAATAGTGATACGAATTCAACTAGCGAGCTACCACTGGATTGGTTCAATGACCCACTCTCCTTGAAGACACACGAGATTCTTCTTTTAGTCGAAGAAGTGGTCATGATCAAACCACGCAACAGTTCTGTCACCTTAGACTGGTCATCGGCACTTAGGGATGCATGTCTGCAATTCTTCTCTCCTTCGAACCTAAGAAGATTCCTGGGGTTCTATTGGGCAATATGGCACCCTAATGTGAATTTTGTGCACCGGCCTACCTTCGACATGCTGGCAGCGAAGCCAACGGTCCTAGCTGCAATGGCTCTAATTGGTGAGACAGTCTCCTATTATAGGGCCTGGTAAACGCTAATTATTGAAAGGTGCCTGTGTATCACCATATATGCCTGACAACGAAGATGCTCGCACTTGGTTCAACTGCGTGGAAGAAATGGTTTTCATTGACGACGATTTCAACAGTGATTTGACCTATCAATCCTCCGGCAACATGGCTATCCAAAGACGCAAGATTCAGGCTGTACAGGCGGCCTACATAGTATGTCTCTATCAGAATTGGGAGGGTGAGGATGCTAGCAAGAGTCGCATTCGACGTTACCGTTTTGCTACTCTGGTATCTGTAAGTGTGCCTTTCAGTCTGTATCTCATCATTGTATTAATGTACCAAAGACCGCTCGTGATATTGGCATTACGGCGGCGAGACATCTGAACTACAGCGAGCTAGGCCGCCATGAGTTCGAATGGAAAGAATATGCAGCTAGAGAGGAACTCATTCGGTAGGTCTCAATATTGCGCTTGAAGACATAGTCACTGATACTCCTAAACCATAGTCTGTTCACTTGGATCTTTTTACTAGATTCAGCATTTGTCATTTTTAACAACCTCCCTCCGCGGATGGTCATCAAAGAAACAAGGATGCATATGGCCACACCAGAAGCTTGCTTTCAAGCGACAACGGCAGACCAATGCCACCACCAACTCCAACTCTTCCTGCCTGCAAGAAGTCTCTATTGGACCACGTCTTTCCGTGCGTCCTTCGAGTCACTATGTAAAGACGATTTATCCGTCAATATTCGCCACCTCCTCGCTACCCTGGGTCCATTAAACATATTCGCATTAACATCAGGTAAGCTACAATCTAAACCTCCATGGTCTAACCTTGTTAATACTGTAACCATTAGCAATTCATTCACAAATCTTCCAATTCCGCAGCGTGGTAGGCAGCTTCCAACTCCGAGCCCCGATACAGAATGCACTCAGCAACTGGCGAGACATCTGGCAGTTGTTCTCGTCGACGTTCCCTCAAGGAATCACCCCACATGTGACAATCGAAGACCCTCACATTCAACCCGAGGAGCTCTGGAAACGAATGGGATTTTTCCGCTACGCCCCCGAGTACTGGCTCCTAGCCCACCTGATGACAGATCGATTGGCAGTACTTGGCACATCTAAGCCGGAGAATGGGCTGGAGCCGCTCGACGAGGGCCCGCTGGACCCAATCCTGAATCGATATGACCAAACTAGTATGCGCCAGATTAACGATCTGATTATGGGCTTTCAGACATTCCAGATTTGAAAGATGGGCTCTGCTGTACAATTAAAATGTCTCACTACGAAAAACGAGTAGATGTCATGATTTGCTTTTGTATATTGTTATCTTTTCAAGTCCCGGATTATCTTGAGGACACAAATCGCTATTGCTGAAACGATACATATTTTGAACAAAGGCCAGAACTCAGGTGTTGGGTAATCACTGGCAGATTCCGTTAGTGACTGGCTGACCGCAACTGGATGCAACGTTTACCTCTCATGATGGGAACTCGGAAGAAACCCGGCCTCCCGTTCTGATTCCAGTCTGAGAGACTCAGACCCATCCTCTCTCCAGTCGATTGTTGTTTCGTGGATTCTGGGTATTATGCCTTCATCTTCATTTTCGGATCTCGGAGGAAGAGTAGTTATTGATGGTGCATCGTGGA